TAATAGTATCAGAAACAGGCTGGGGAAGATGGTCCATATGAAAAATGACACCATTCAGTGCAAAAGGGGGGACATCATTCATTTTCAAAGAAATCCAATCTTTCAACTCTTTCCAGAAGCGGTGTGTAGTAGGACAGAGGGAAAACAAATGTTCAATGGTTTCACTATTATTATTACAAAAGGAACATTAATCCACCTCAAAACCAAATCTTTTTCTTAAAAAATCTGCCACAGGATAAAGTTTACTTTATATCTTTAAATTGTGTTTCTATGACTTTTGGTAGAATAGGCCATTTAACCAATTTTGAGAAAGCTTTATCTGAACTAACAGGAATAGCAATGGTTAACCTTAACTTTAAAGGGCAAGTTAGTGTTTTTGATGCCTTGTAATTCCATTTTTTAAAATCTAGAGTATTTTAAAATACTCTGCCTTTCAACCATTTGTACTGTTGCTATTGCCTTACTTGTTTGTACTTACGGTACTCTGTTTAAATAAAGTTTTTTTTAAAAGTCTGATGACGTCAGAGAAGCGCTGTAAAGGAGCCTTCATTTTCTACTCACCCCCATGCTGAACAACACTCTGGAGTACTTTTTTGATATCTCAAATGCATCTGGAGATCTGGGAGGCTTCTTGTTGTCTGCTGACATTCAAATAATGGAGGTCTATGGCGCCCGAGGCAGAAAGGTCCATAAAAGTCCACAAAAAACGTGTTAATATTCCTCCATACTGCTCGTCCAATGTATTCCAAGTGTCCTGAGTGGGTAGCGTCCATAATTTACTCGAAACGAAGTCATTTAGAATGTTTTTAGAGCATAAACAGTAGTGTATAGAATTTCCTAAAAGCGCGTTCACGAGCCTACGGAAACCGCGGCAGACCAAACCAGATGAAAGTGCGCATTCAATTCCATTCAATTCAATTCAGTTTATTTATATAGCGCCAAATTCACAACACATGTCATCTCAAGGCACTTTACAGTTCAACCAGATCATACAGTCAAATTGATACAAAGTTTTCTATCTAAGGAAAACCAGTTGATTGCATTGACTCATTGACTCAAATACAATCCCCCACACTAAGCATGCTTGTAGCGACAGTGGAGAGGAAAAACTCCCTTTTAACAGGAAGAAACCTCCAGCAGAACCAGGCTCAGTGTGAGCGGCCATCTGCCGAGGCCGACTGGGGTTCAAGGAGACAGAAGCAGAGATACAAAAAGCAGCTGTAAAAGGCGGCCCCGTCCAGGAAACACACAGCCAGGCAGACGAGCTCCAAGGCAGCTCCCATGCCAGAGGACGAAGAGAGCACATCCACTCAGTCACGGTCAGAGAAACAGGTCCACACTGGAAAAACGGCCGATCTCCAACATCTATAAACAAGGGTGTTGATAGAAGCAGCACAGCTGATGTTTCTTTCCAGGATGAAAACATCAGCGTCTGCTCTGCCGATAATGCAAGCGTAGAAGAAGAAATGTGCTGTTTGAGGACTTCAGTGTTGAGGAAGAGCATGAGTTCTTTGCCGAGCTGAATGTGCAATTTCATCTGGTTTGGGATGCCGCGGTTTCCGTAGACTCGTGAACGCGCTTTTAGGAAATCCGATACACTACTGTTTATGCTCTAAAAACATTCTAAATGACTTAGTTTCGAGTAAATTATGGACGCTACCCACTCAGGACACTTGGAATACATTGGACGAGCAGTATGGAGGAATATTGACACGTTTTTTGTGGACTTTTATGGACCTTTCTGCCTCGGGCGCCATAGACCTCCATTTTTTGAATGTCAGCAGACAGCAAGAAGCCTCCCAGATCTCCAGATGCATTTGAGATATCAAAAAAGTACTCCAGAGTGTTGTTCAGCATGGGGGTGAGTAGAAAATGAGGGCTAATCATGTTTTGGGTGTACTATTCCTTTAAAGAAGAAAATGTGAAAAGCATTAAAATTGTCAAATAAAAGTCATAAAACATTTTCTTTACAGATGTGTATTACTATTCTTTATTGAGTTAAGGATAGAAATAAGTGGTTTTAATACCATAATTACATTATTTATGGACACCCGGATGTATATCTGTTCGCGCATGCGCAGAACGAATCGGGTAGTGACAGGCTTCGGTATTTCAGGTGTAATAATCCTCCCAGCCAGGCGGCGGCGCCTGCGGAGATTTTAAACACGTCTTTGAAGGGTGGACACCAGTGGGGAGAGGAAGAGGACGTGGAAGAACTAGAACAGATGAAGAAAAGGGAAGTCAAGGCAGTAAACGAGAACTGGAAGGAAGTAGTTCAGATGAAGAAAGGATAGTTAGGAGGAAAGTTGTGAGGGAGGAAATTTAAAATAATATTAAAACTGAAGAATGAGCAAGAACATGATAACATCAGCCCCATTGTACGGAAGCGTATTGCATTCACCAAAGAAAAAAAATCTGACTGCTTATCTCGTAATTACGAGATCTTTTCTCATAATTACGAGATATTATCTCATAATTACGAGATCTTTATCTCGTAATTATGAGATCCTGATCTCAATATTATGAGATATTATCTCATAATTACGAGATAAGATGTCATAATCACGAGATAATATGTCATATTTAGGAGATCAGGAAGGACAGTCTCTGCTGATCTCCACTACATGAAACGTGAACAATGAGTAGGTTGTTGGATTAAATATGCTTTTATTTCCTTTTAGGTATGTGATAGAGGTCTGCGCGAGACAGATTTTCCAGTCCCACTCCCGCCCGCACCTGTAATAGTTTGTCCCACTCCCGCCCTCAATAGGGGGTTTTCAGTGATGTCACTGGCCAGCTTCCGGTCCGCCATCTTGGGTGGCATATTATCGTATATCAAATATATCATGTCGCGGGTGGATTAGTACGCCAGCACGCTAGAGCCACCAGATCATGGAACATATCTGAGGAAATGTTCCGTGATCGACCATATGGACCCCTATGCCCTCCACGGTGCCTTGTTTAGCACTAATCCAGATGATTGGCCAAATGTAGAGCATGGTGACATAGTTCATTACCCGGTGTTCAGTGAAAACCCTCTGCACACTCTTGAGGAAATGAGAGCGTACAAGGGTCTAGAGGCTCACAACCAGTTCACATCTGGTTGGGTACGAGATGTCGAAGTGATGTACATGAAGGAAATCGCCATCATACGTGGACGGGTGAGTTTTAATAAGATGGTAAAAATGTAAACAATCCGACGCAGGGCTCGCTATGCTAGGTGGCTAACGGCCGGCGGTGCGCGAACAGTTCCAAAGCTACAAGTCCTTGGAGTCTCATGTGCAGTTTACGAATGGATGGGTTCAGGAGCTGCAGCTCATAAAGCCAGCGAACAGTGCTAACCGTTGGTGCTAACAACCACTCAGGCATGTAATGTACTTTTAACTAGCTGCTGTGTGTTTCAAAGGTTTGGTTAGTAACGTTAACTGCCAAACCTCCCTAAACCCTCCGGGTTTCTCACATATTTGAGCCTTTTCCCGCTGGTTGAAATGAAGTTAAGGTGAAATTAATCAAATTAAAACAGGGCTGAGAGAGGGAGTCCAGTACGCGGTAGTCATAGGCAGTAGTCTGAGTAGCGGCGGCGGAGACGGTCAACATTGCGGCCACGGAAAGTAATACGTCATGACGCCCAAGCCCTATTATTATATTCTTACATGTTTTAAATGCTTGACAGTTAATTACCTGTGACAAAGTGAGCACTGCAGACTCTGGCGTATTCCAGCTTAACACCGTCCAAATCGGACCTGGATATCCGTGTCAGCCATAGGTGACGGCGTTGTTCAGATAGCTGTTTTGTTTTTTCACCATGATTCACGATTACGGCTGGTATGCGATAGAAAGAGCGTTGATCTCCACCTCCACGGGCCGTGCAACCAACAATTACACACGATTTCACCATTTTTCACTGTCAATACTGCCTAAGGCTGCCACCCAATATGGCGGACGCGCTGAGTAGTCACGTGAGCGTGACGTCACCTGAAAACCCCCTATTCCCGCATGGTTCCTACGTTCGCCTACTGCTCAAGGCAATTCGTGTCATTAGTTTGAGGAATTAAACACGCAGTGTTTAGATGAGCACATTACTGGGTGAAATCACTACTTTCACTATCACTAATGTTGTGTGGAGAAGGCAAACTGTATTATTGAGAAATAAATCCTTATTTGTCTAAATTTTTATCCACTTACTGCCTGATTTTATTTGCAATTATATAACAGAAAAATAATACAGGTAAAATAAATATAAAAACGAAAAAAAAAGTTAAATAGTGGATCTAGATGAAGTAAAATAAGTAAAGGCCAGAATTGTTTGGTCCCAAATTGGCAACACCAGGCGTTAAGGGGTTAACATTCACTAGAATTGTATCAGCTAAAATGAAATTGCTATCATCTAATCCTGTTCTCAACCTTCATCTCTCTATCCAGACCAGGCTGATGTACTGCCGCATCAATCTGAATGTTCCTGTTCTTCAATTATTCTTTAACAATCATGACACCAGACCAGATTTTCGGCTGAGCAGAGAGTCTCTGGCGGTGCTGCTGGAGCTTCTCTGCCAGGAAAGAAGACACGGATGGAGGGCCACAATAGAGACCTTGGTCTTCCTCTTCTGGCTAGCGAGTGGGGCATCCTATAGAGTAGCTAGGGTGTTCGGGATGCCTCGCTCCACAGTTCACCGCATCGTCCACCGGGTTACTGAGGAGGTGGTGGCCATCCGCCACTGAGTCATCTGCCTCCCCAAAACTGCAGAAGACCTGGCAGCAGTAACCCAGGGGTTTGAAGGGCTGGCAGGACACAGAGCTTTTCTGAAAGCTGCTGGAGCGATGGACGGCTGCCATGTGAGGATCAAGCCTCCAAGCGGTCCTGATGGTCACTGCTATCGCAACAGGAAACTGTTCTCCTCCATCATTTTACAGGCAGTTTGTGACCATCAGGGCCTCTTCATCGACACGTACGTGGGCTGTTCGGGGTCGGTGCATGACTCCAGCGTGTTCCGGAACAGCCAATGTACAGGCGGGCCATCTACCCTCCTCCGGGCCACTTCATCTTGGCAGATGGTGGGTACCCGTGTCTCCAACACCCACTCCCCCTCATCACTCCTTTCAAGCGGCCGGTACAAGGTGTGGGAGCCCAGCGCTTTAACAGCCATCATTCCAGGGCACGCTCCATCATAGAGCGTGCCTTTGGGATGATGAAGACGAGGTTCAGGGCCATCTTCCTCCAAGCGCTGGAGGTGCACCACACCTTTGTGCCTCAGGTATGTTACTAAATGAGAGAATTATTGCTTATAGATAAATGATAAAAAGCTTTAAATTAATTTCTTCAAATACACTATAAAATGTTTTTTGTCTTGTTTTTTCTACAGGTCATAACGGCATGTGCTGTCCTGCACAACATCTGCCTGGGAGCCGGTGACATCATGGCCCCAGAGGATGAAGAGCAGGACGACATGCCAGAGGATGAGGAGGGGAGAAGGTGTTGGAGGCAGTCAGTGGTGCTCACTGGTGGGACCAGCTGTCTGCCGAGGTGTCTGCCCTGGAGGAGGGTCTACCCGGCCACCATTACAGCTGTTCTCATTTCAGGGTTATTAAAACAGTTTTAGTAAGATCATTATTTTCTGCGTCTTTTTAAACTTTTTTAGTAACATGGCAGCCGTCGATTGGGTCAGCCCTTCAAACCCTGATGGACGATGTGGTGAACAGTGGAGAGAGGCATCACCCCCCAGATGATGTCCCACTCACAGTCAGAAGACTCCAAGGTCATCTGTGTGGCATCCCATCCAGTCCAGCAGCACCACCAGGGACTCCTGCTCAGTCGAAATTGTATATATATGTTCTTTTATAGTATTTCTTTTATATCTTCTGTAAATAGTAGTTAAAATTGAATGTAAATTGTTTAAAATATTTTTAATAGTTTATTGTTTATAATTGCATCTCAAAAAATAAATTGATGTTTTCACTGAGAAGTTGTTCTAAATTTACTTAAATTGTCAAGAAGTGATGAAACAGATAATGTAAAAAGGTTAAAAGACTTTAAGAACACCCCAACAACAATAACTTTGATAAACGATTTAATAATTTTATTTCATAACAGCAACACATAACTTGAACTTGTAAAAACAGCAACAACCAAAAAAAAAAGAACACACCAACAAAAATTAACGTCTGTCCACCATCCTCTCCAATAAAGTAAACAATCTGTCCATCCTTTCCCGGCTCTCTCTTTCTCTTCTCTCCTCCGCCTCCCTCTGCCATCTCATATGCTCCCTGATCAAATCAAACAACTCGTCACTCCTTCTTCTTCTCTTCCTCCTTTCCCTCCTCTCTCCTGGCCTCTCATCCTCACTCTCTTCCTCATCGTCGCCCTGATACTGCTCAGCCTCTGCAGCACCTGGCCCTGGTGTGTCCTCAGGGATGGAGGCAATTAGGACAGGTGGGGCAACAGAGGGCCTCTGTCCTAATACCTCATCCATGAGGACAAACCAGGGCCAGGTGGCAGCAGTAGGCTTCCCACTGACCCCCTGCCATGTCCCTGGATCTTTGCATTCCTAAAGTAGAGGAAAACAATTTGTGTCAACAGATGCAAATTTCTGTAGTGTTTCTTTAAAGCTAGAAAAAAGGAGTGTTTCATGATTTGGATGGATTAATGAAATTCTACAGAAAAAGAGATCACTTTGGAATAATAACTTTGAGATGACTTTTTTCAAGCTAATTCAAAGTGTAAATGAACCTGAATATAATATATGTAAGATGTAATTTCCCTACACATATACACACACATCTATCTATCTATCTATCTATCTATCTATCTATCTATCTATCTATCTATCTATCTATCTATCTATCTATCTATATATATATATATATTAGTGCTGTCAAAATTATCGCGTTATTATCGCGTTAACGCGAGGCCATTTTAACGGCGATAATTTTTTTAACGTGAGATTAACGCTATGTGGTTTTATGGTACAATTTTCCAAGTACATCCCGCTGCAGCCTGCGAGAAGGCGGGGCTATTTTCCCCCAGTGTATGCATTTCTCATAGGCTTCGAGAGCGGAGAGCTCCTCAAGGGAAAAAGACGCTCATACACTGGGTGACGCTAGTGCCTTTTCTTTAAGCCCCAGCACCAACAAACAAGTTGAGTGTCTGTTAACTAGTAGCAACCTGAAATACGCTGAGAAAACAGATTACTGAGGTGAAATGGAATCTGCTACAGCACACTTGCTGTCTGTGTACGCCACAGGTCGGTATCGTGTGTGTGGGTGGGTGTGTCTGTGTGTGGGTGGGTGCTTGTGTGTGTGTTCTCATTTTTGTTAAGAGGCTGAAAAGTAACTTTCTAGAGCATAGACTACCTCCATCTAGTGATGTCGGTCTATTGATTTTGATGTATTGATTGAAAATTGTTCATTATTATCTTGGTTAATTAACATCTAATGTTAACTCTACTGCGTTTTATAGAAGTAGGGTAAAATGCCTGTCTTTGTTCAAAAGACTGTATTAACTGTAAAGACTGTCTTTTACATCAGCCTGTTTTCAGGGCCTTTTTTTTGGGCTACATATTTGTTATTTTTTGCTACATGCCTCCCCATCTTCTTGCCATATGTTTCTATGGCATAAATCAGTGTCTGTGACCTGTTCTCATTTAAAAAAAAGAACATTGGCACAAACCTAGCCTGTATGTATTTTTTGTATGTCATCGAGAGTATTTAAATGATTTTCAATCAGAAAAAAAATTTGCGATTAAAATGCGATTAATCGCGAGTTAACTCAGGCATTGATGCAATTAATCGCGATTTAAAAAATTTAATCGATTGACAGCACTAATATATATATATATATATATATATACATATGTGTGTGTGTGTGTGTGTGTGTGTGTATTTCATTACATTATCCAAACCTGAACATACTTTGTATTTTTTTTTTAGGTTGTCCCATTTTTGTTTGGCCTGTTGTGGCTCAACTTTTCCCTCCAGGCCCATTTTCTGCAGGATTGTTCTAAACAAGAGAAATGAGAAGAGATAAACACACAAGGATCACTTCTATCACAAATATAAGATTGATTAAAAAGTGGCATCTGGGCATCACTTCATGTGATCAAAAGATTATATTTGTACGTTGGTGTTTGAACAGGACTTCTTTTAACTTGTGTGACTTTGACATAGAAATGCAACATGTATATGGAATTATGCCTCAACCCTTACCTCCAACCGACTGCAGCAGTATTTTTGGCGCCGGTAAAAAGGTGGTCATTTTGCCCACGGAGTTCTATCAACTCCTCTGTCTGCTCCCTGCTCCCTGGAACAAAATGACATGTAAATCATATTTCTGTTATGTCAACAGGCAAAATTACTGTTCTGTATAATTACGCCGGCATTGTTCTTCAAGTGAATTATACTTTAAACCTTATTTTACTGTACTGTAAATAAACTATACATTATTGAGTATTCAAACAGTATTGCAGTCATAGGTGGATCTACTGGGGTGGCATAGGGTGGCAAATGCCACCCTAAATGACAGCCTTGCCACCCCAGCTGCCACCCCAGTTGGCGGTAGGGGTGGCGAGGCTTATAAATTATGGATCATTTGAGAATTACGACCGCTAATTTCCAATGTCGGACTGCAGTGAATGCAGCACGAGATGACGCGAGAGCGACTGAGACTGATTGTTTTGAAAACCGAATGGGGTAAAGCGAGGGAGCCAGGGGTGATGGGGAGAGGAGACACGGGATGAGACAGGTAAAAACTGATTAACTATCTATAGAGAAATGAAATCACAATGTTGCTAGCATAGCTGCAATGCTGATTTTGAGATGATAAAAATCAGGTTGCAGAACGTTATTTCTCTAACTATGATGTTAGTTAGGCCTGACGTTTCCAGCTCAGAAAGACATATTTACGGTCAACTATGACAGAAAAGAGACGATCAAGTTTGGTTGTACTCAAATCAAAACGCACAAAGGCATTGGATCTAAATACATTATGTGAAGCGTTTTGCTGAGCAACATGGAAATCACCGCATTCAGCCGTTATAGTCATGTTAGCTTTATGTTCTGCTCTCTGGTGAACCTTTACAGAGCTGTTACATTTTGTTTTGGCACCTGAGAAAATCTGATATTTCCTTTAATAAAACCAAAAGAGTTAAAAGTAAAGTTAAAAATGTGATACTGGTGTGAATCTTGCTTAATATGAAGCAGTGCTGTTGTTTCTTTTTGATATATATAGTATGAAATTATCCAGAAATGACCTGTATGAACCTACTCACAAGCAAAATGTATTTTTATGTTGCTTCTTTTCAGATTTGTGGAGATTTTGATGTAACATACAGAACCCGCCTTTTTGTTGATTTGTTGATACAGCAGTATGGAGGACCAACTCTGCCATATTTAAAAATAAATACAGAAATAAATAAATGCTTAATAAATAAATAAGCATACAATTAATTGCCACCAAAAATACAAACAACAAATAAATGTAAGTAGAAATTAAATTATACAGCTAGTCATAAAGGTATATAACTCTTTTAATTGGCTTCTTTATTTCTTTGCCTTTTTAATATTTACCTTATTTATTTTTTTGTCATTTATTATCTTCAACTGCATTTTTTAATTACTTATATTTTTAAGTATTTATTTATTTATGTGCATGTTATCATATTTTTGTCTGTTTTATTCTTCCTTTGTATTTTTTTACCCTAGTTATTTCTTCGCCGCTATTTCTTTCTGCCTGCCCTTTTTACATTTCTGCCTGCCATTATAATATAATTTCTAATTACATTTATTTGTTGATTGTATTTTTGGTGGCAATTAATTGTATGCTTATTTATTTATTGAGCATTTATTTATTTCTGTATTTTTTTTTAAATATGGCGGAGTTGGTCCTCCATATACAGCTCTATCTACAGCATATTTACATGCATGAAATGTCCCTTTCATGTTGCCGTAACTGCTGTATGTCAAGTTACTGAGGAACAAATGGGGTAAATGTGTGTTCAGAGTAAACAATACATAGATGTCTGGTACCTTGTTCGGGTGCCTTGACCCATTTATTTCTACTGTGTAGTTCTGCTCACTTTAGTGCAGCTCAGTCCATAGATCTCTGATGGGAAACTTTTTCTTTCTATCGTTTCTTCTTGTGCAAATGCTGCAAAGCTGCCTCTCTGACAGTCAATCTCACACATCTGCGACTCAGCACCTGTGTCTTACCTTAATACCTTTCCTGTGATAATGCCCCTCTAGAAGTAGTGTTATCATTCTTCTATCTCCTATTAAGTGAGATCACATTGTACGAGGTATTATTAATATGAACTGTTTCACATGAAACACTAGTACTGTACATACTATTCTCACCAAACTGTGATAACTGTGATTAAATTCAGTGTAAACAAATGCCATATGTTGCCACCCCTAAAAAATTCCTGCCCCCCTCTTGCCACCCCATAAATATTTTTCTAGATCCGCCCCTGATTGCAGTATCGGTCTTTGTCAGCCACGTGACTGACACGCCCCCTAGCGCCATTTTTGTGGTGAGCGGAAGAAAAACAAAACAGCAGAAAACAAGAGGAGAGCGCTGCCAGCAGCGAGGATTATCAGTTAAATGGAAAAGAACAAGAAAACTGAACGGATACACTACCCAGACAAACTTTCTAAAGCTGCTAGGGAACGATATTATATATTATTATTACAGTGACAAGGCAGATGTTGTTGGCAGTTGCACAGATCGCTGCAGTTATTAGAGTAGTTTGTGCTGCTCATCAGACTGAACGGAAAAACTTGTCAGAATTTTTGCACATTGATAAGTTGCACACTGTATTTGCTGTTCACTTTACCCAGGCCTGTTTTCACTGGGATCTGCAGTCTTCTTCACAGATATCACCTGTTAGGTCATATCTCTACGGAAGACCACAGTGAAAACAAGTCCAGGGAAAATGAAAATCTTCTAATTTAATCTAAAGAGCAATCTGCTATATACGAGGGAGGAAGACAAAGTAAAACATTTGAAGCTTTGCACTGTTCTGCATTATTTATGTATTTGAGATTTTGTATTGCATTTTCATAAATTCTCTGCTTGATTGAAAAGATAATAACAACGCTTGTTTCAAATTTCAAACTCCACTCTTTATTGTACACACATTTTTACAACTTCAGAAACATTGTTAATATTTGAAGTGATGGTGAAACTTATATTTGTTTTGCTGTTATTTTTCAAAAGTAACTTTAAAAAAAGCAAAATTCTATTTGTGTGAAAAGAAGAATAAAAAAAGAAGAAAGTTGAAACAGTACTTGATCTGGCATTCATTTATTAGCTGGTTTCTCTGTGAAAATTTCAAAACAGTCACTAATCACTGTGACTCTATGTCCAAAGGCCTCCACAAACGGATGAGGCATAATTTTGTCCAAGGTGTCTCTATCTGGCCACACAATTGCACGCTTTAGATTTGCATATAAAAATGACACCATTTCATTGAATGTTCTGTACACTGTCTTTGGTGAAACACAGAAGAGATAAGCAAGGTGTTGTGAGGGCAGATCCAATCTCAGACGCATGAAGGTTAACAGAAGCATTTGAAATGGACTGAGAATTTTATTTTGAGCAGACATGAGAGGCAGCATAAAATTAAACAAAGCCATAAAGGTCACCAAGTTTGGTAGACCCGTATAGTACTGGACTTTTTCATTAGTGTCTCCAAAGAAGCAATCAGAGATCCGCAGCTCATCAAGTTCACGCCGCAGCTCTCTGTTTTCTTCCAAAAGATGGTTCATCTCTGCACACCTGAGCACACACAGGTTACATTCTGTCTGTCCTTCCTGACGACCACCTTCTGTGTGATCCTTGGTGTTTGGCCGGCCAACGTTTTCAGCAGCCTTCTGCGTGTCAGTCTGTTGCTGGTTAGGGTTCTCTGTCGCCTCATGTGTTACTTCATCCTGTTGCTCAAGGATTTCATCAGCCCGATGAAGCCCCGTTTCAGTTGCTTGCAGGGCATTCTTTTTCAGCTGTTCCCGATAACCATGTCTTAAAGAGCGGTCTGTGTCTGTTGGTTTGATGTCAGTGTGGCCCAGATGCAGGGATGGAGCCCAGTCTGGGTCAGTCTCCATCATCTCATATGCGGGTTGACCTGCAAAGTAGATGAAAGGTTGAGTGTTTTACACATCTATTCAAAACACTATATAAAGCACCTAAATAACAGAGCCCATTAGATTAGATGTGTAATAAATTAAGATAACCTTATGTGTCCCACAGTGGGGAAATTTGCTATACCGAAACAGCACAAGTACATCGGACTAGTAAGGCCAGAGGTAAATAAATAAACTGAAAAGCTTACAGACGAACAAAGGATTATAATATACTTAAGTAGATTGCACAGGATGAATAAATACAGTGAGTTGGCTGACGAGTGGGTATGTACAGTGTTTTTATATGTACAGTGTATTTACATATATTTATTCATTTAAAAAAAAAATTGTATTGCAGATTGTGTAAATGATTATATACAGAGAATGCATTATTTATTAAATTTTAGCGGTCTAAAAAAGAAATAAACAAAACAAACATCACTTTCCGCTTCTCTTCCACAGCATGTTTCAGTAGGTTTACATGAACTCCTGCAACTTTATAAGCAAACCATTTCAGCGTGTTGATTTCTATTAGTGTATATTTATAAGGACTTACCTTTTGAAAATGCCGAGAGCAAACACGAGCATGAGGAGATATTTTATGAAACGTGATGTCTTTCCTTCTTACAGCAGCGACCCATGCAGCCCGACGCCTCTTTGTTAAGTCCTCTGTCTGCGGTCCGTATTTTTTTTTCCAAGTGGGGAATACGAAAACCGTAAGGCCCCATCTGCTGTTTTCTGTTTAGAATTACTGTTGCATCCTTTGACGCAGCACCAGTGTCCCATTATTTCCAACGGAAGCAACTAGAACACTTCTACTCTCTGTTAGTTTTCTGTTGTTAGTTGCTGCTGTCTCTTCACCACAGAAATGGCGCTAACTACCCTAAATGCATTGCGCTTTTGCGGAAGTGACGCACACTGTCAAAGACCGATATTGACAGCCCAGTACAGCTGGACTAATGTTATTTCTTCAGCTGCATTAAGCTTTGACAGTTCTAATCCTGTGTGATAAACTGTATGAGAATAAATAAATCCGATTAGTGAGGGCTATCAGCAAAGTTACAAGATGTAGGTTAATAATGTGACATTTGTATGAAGGCTTTTAATTGTTGAGCGTCTCGTATCAACAGGTTAGCTCTAAGCTTTAGCTTGTCCTACATATCCCGGTGGCTCCGTTACCATCATGTATTTTAACAGATGTTCAGTAAAAAATAAATAAATAAATAAATAATACTCACATTCAAAAATGTACTCCATCTTACTACTGCCGGCGCTGCTACTGCTTTCCATTTTTTCCGCCTTTTTTCTTTTCTTTCTTCTTCTTCTTCTTCAACTACTTAAAAAAAAAAAAAAAAAAAAAAAAAGAAGCGCGCAAAGCACCTCGGGAAATGTAGTGGGAGGCGAGGCCACTAAGGACGGTAGCGATGCATCCTCAGAATTCGGGGAAAAGGAGGGCGCATTTTAAGGCTGCATTTTTTTTTATTTTATTTTTTTATTATTATTTCAACAAACATTTACATGAAAAAATACTCTGAGAGGATAACAAATGTGAACATGAACAGATAAAGATCAATTACAAGAAAAACAAATAAGTAAAACACTTAACAGGGGATTTATCTCAGCAAACAATTAAAACAAACATAGACAGAGCCATAGAAATAATAGAAACAAAAAGGTGAATGCACTTAAAATAGCAGATGTTTGGAGAAATCCAGTCTCAATTGTTTGGCATATTTGTCATTTTTTATCTTCTTAAGAGAAGAAAAATAGATTTTAAAGTCATTCATAAACCAATTAAAAGAAGGTTTAGAATTTCTCCATTTAGCACAGTGGATATGATATTTACTGATCAGCAGGAGGACATTAATAGTGTAAGAAACAGGCTGGGGAAAATGGTCCATATAAAAAATAACATCATTTAGTGCAAAAGGGGGGATATCATCAATTTTTAAAGATATCCAGTCTTTCAAGTCTCTCCAGAAGCGGTGTGTAGTGGGACAGAGGTAAAACATATGTTCAACGGTTTCACTATTATTATCACAACAAAAAGAACATTGATCCACCTCAAAACCAAATCTTTTTCTTAAAAATTCTGCCACAGGATAAATTTTGTCAGTAACTTTAAAATGTGTTTGTTTGACTTTAGGTAAAATAGGCCATTTAACAAATTCTGAGAAAGCTTTATCAACTATATCTGAGTTAACAGAAATATCTCTCTTCCAAGTAAATCTATCCTAATCATGAAATTTTCTGGCTTTCAAAAAACTGTTAATAAATGTATTATTGCATTTTTTATCAAGCAAATTACATTGTGAAATCAACAATCTGGGCAGTATTGGTGGGTAATTATTATATAACCTATAGTTTTTTATCAATTGAATTAAAGGCAGTGGAATCGATTTACACAGTTTGTTATATTCTCTTATAGAACACAACATTATATTTTTCTAAAAAATCTGAATAATTTATAATATCGCTGTTTTCATCCAATAAATCAGTAACATAAATAATGTTTTTGTTAAACCATTCCTTTTTGAAGATAGATTTGCGATTAATTGTTATTACCCTATTGTTCCATAGAGTTGAGCTATGGGGAGAAAAGCTATGGGTGAAAATCATTTTCCAATAATGCAAAATCTGCTTGTGGAAGTTGGATAGCTTGATTGGAATCCTGTTTGTCTCAAAGTCACATTTTAGAATAAAGTCTAAACCTCCTAATTTATCAAATAATGATCTTGGAATGTGATACCACATAGAATTGGGGTGCAGCATATAAGATTTGATCCAGTTAATTCGGAAGGTGCCAACCATTGATTCAATATCTGGAGCTTTAATACCACCTTTATTATATTCTTTCACCAACTGAGATTTTTTTATGTAATGTGTTTTATTCCTCCATAAAAACTGAAAGATTATTGTGTTTGCTTTACTTATGTTTTTAGAGGATATAAACAAGGAGTGGCAGGGATAAACCAGTTTGGAAATTCCTTCCGTTTTGGACAGAATATTTCTGCCAAATATCGTAAGGTCTCTTATTAACCAGTGACTAAGGCCTTTTTTCATATCCAAAATACGATTTGAAATATTTGTATCCTCTCTTCTAATTAAGTTTTTTGATATTGTCAGCCCTAGGTATTTAACTTCAGTTACAACTTTAATAGAAGCAACTGAGGTATCAGGACTTGTAAAAATAGGAAGTAGTTAACATTTTTTTATATTAAGAGATAAACCAGACGTAACAGAGAATATGGAAATAGTACTTAAGGCTTTATCTATCATTGATTTATCTTTTAGAAAGATACAGGTATCATCAGCAAATTGGCTTATTCTAAATTCTCTATCAAAAATTGTGATACCTTGTATGTGATTGGAGTTTTTAATTAACGAAGCTAGCAGTTGTGTAGCTAAGATGAAAAGCTTTGGGGAAATGGGACAACCCTGTCTGACTCCACATGAAATCTCAAATGCAGGCGTTAATCCCGGGTTTAGAGAGATCATGCTACTGGTGTCAGTGTAAAGCATTTTAACTATGCCACAGAATTTGCTTCCAAAACCAAGGAAGTGTAAAGTTTCAAGCAAAAAGGAACGTTCAAGTGAGTCAAAGGCTTTGAAAAAGTCTAAGAACAATATGTAGCCATTTGTAGGAATAAAGTCTCTATAATCTAACAGGTCAATAATTAGTCTAATATGGTTATGTATAACTCTACCTTTCACAAAGGCTGATTGACACTCATCCACTAATTTTGATAATCCCTTATCCAATCTATTAGAGTAGATGTGAGCTAGCAATTTATAGTCGTTGCATAGTAATGTTATTGGCCTCCAATTATCTAAAAACAATTTATCTTTATTGGGCTTTGGAATTAGGGTTCTAACACCTCTTTTCATTTTAGGGGACAGCTGACCCAATGAGATACATTCAAGCAGGGCATTATAAAGCAGTAGTTTGATATCATTCCAAAAATGGAGATAAAACTCTACTGTTAAGCCATCCAGCCCAGGGGATTTTCCTTTTGACATTTTTGTAAGGCTGCATTTTAAGCGTCCTCAGAATTTATGCCAAATGGGACGGCCTCGGCGCAGCGTTGTGACGTCACTGGCCTCAAAATGCGTCCTCTCAAGTTTTTTTTTGTTTTTTTTGTTTTTTTCTTATTGAAAACTTCAAAATTTACAGACAAACATGGCTGCATAGAGTTCGTTTCTTCAAGTCAGGTTACATAGAAAATATAGCCAGGGGGAACATCTCTTCACACAGATTGAAATATATCTATAACATAGATTTTCTATAGAGGGCTGTTAACATAAGCATCAAAGACATAAGACCAAATAAATAAACAAAATAGAAATGTATAAGGATAATTTTAAAATAAAAACAATAATATAAATAAAAGAAAATAAGAAAGTATAACATGAGGGGAGAATTCAGTCTTTGTTTTAGCTGTTTACTTCTGTAGGGAAGCGTTTTAGGGTATCATATATTTTTTGTGCTTTAGGACCTTTCAGAAACTTTAATGATTTTATATATATCTTAAACTCGTTTAAAAAAAAAACAAGTTTGGGAGATGATTTGACAATTCTACATTTATGAATGAAAAATTTAGCTAGACATACAATCGTATTAATACAGAGCTCATCAGTTTTACTTTGCAATATTAGACCAAAAGTGATATCGTCCCTGGAGATAACGGTTGGGAATGAAAATTGTTGTTGTTTAATCCACCTATGCAAATCACTCCAAAATGTTTGCACCACTGAACATGAGAAGAAAACACGGTCCGTAGTTTTAATGTCATTTTCACAGAACGTACATGTGTTATCATCTATTCCAAAGCGAAGTCTCAATAATTCTTTAGAGGGGTAAGTTCATTATTTTGAAGCGTGTTTCTTTCACCTTTGGGGGTATAGGAATTGCTAGATGTCATGATGGCTCTTAGGTTCTTAGCCCACATGCAGAACACAACGGAGGCTGGGTAAAAGTTTAACAGAGTTTATTGAGTTTGCACAAAAACACAAGATCATGAACTGGATCAGGAACTGGTCCGGGCTGGTTCACTGAAGTCTGCAGAGATGATAGTTTGATTAGGAAGCGGGCTGATGAATTATGAGTCTTTGATAATTCAAGAGTATACCTTGATAGAGTCCGGGCTTCTCTTTGAGAGAGAGGGAACCGTTGGGTCCAGAGACTGTTTGTTCAGCAGAGTCCAAGAGTAGCTGCAGCGTCTTGCTTCTGACTTTAAAGGCAGACCTTGATCTGAGTTTCCAGCTCTTAGTTAAGAGCAACAGGGGAATCCACATAGGAATCTTCAGGTTTGGCTCACGAGGGCAATCTCGGCAGGTTAAGCTCATCCAGAGCTTCAGGTTAGAGACAGGTTTCCTGTGAGGCAAAACAAGGGAGAGTTAGAATCAGATCTCTCTCAAGAGACAGCTAAGATTCTTCAGATTCTAGGCTCAGGTCGCTAACCAAACTAGGTCAACACTGCGGCGTCGACGCAAGGTCTGGCAGCTGGTTATAAAGGGCAGGTCTCTTGATGAGTACCGGTAGATGCGTCTCAGGTGTGCTGGAAGACTCCAGCTCCAGGAGACCCACGGCGCACTCTGCTGGAGGAAGGTGGTACAGCTCCAGATCCCAACACTAGATACATTGTTCTTAGTTTAGTTATTGAGCTTTTTTGTAGGATGTTATTTTTATTTTGTCTTTCAGGGTAAAGGTATTCATTAAAACAGTTTCTGATAAAATGGTTAGTGCATTTCCTATCCATAATGTTAATCCCTTGAATTGACAGAGTAGCTAATTGTGGGTGAATTGGATGATATGCCAAAGTATTTTTGGTTAAAAAAACAAATTCTTGGGGTAGTGCTCTATGTAATTTGTTAAAGTCTGACTCTAAAGGTTTGAAATTATGTTTAATGCAATAAACGTATAATTATAATTATAAAAAGCTCCGTTGGCATCCATTAAATCTACTATGGACCATATATTTCTCCCATACCAGTCTTCAAAGAACAGAGATTTGTTGCGGTGCAGAATATATCTGTTGTTCCAGAGAACAGTTGTGTGGGGTGAGAAGTTATGCACATATAACATTTTCCAGTACCAGGGGATTTGTTTTTGAAAATCTGATAGTGTTATTGGCAATTTGTCAACATTAAAGTCCGCTCTCAGAAGAAAATCCAATCCTCCAATTTTCTTGAACAAGGACCTTGGAATACAAAACCAAAAGGAGCTGCTGTGTTTGATCCAAGATTTTAACCAATTTATTTTTATGGTCCCATTTAGACAATCAAAATCAATAACTTTGAGACCCCCATCTTTTGCGTCTTTAACCATACTGCT